CAAGCTATAAAAACTAGAAAGAAAAAAAGAGAATACTTCATTTAAGGAAGATTATTTTTCTGTATTTGCTAGGTCATTGAAGCTCTGGGGGCTAGGAGACCAAGATATTTCAATAAAACAAAGTTTGCAATCCCTTCTTTGTAAGCTGCATATACTGATGAAGGGGCTTTCAGATGATCATTAAGGTGAACATAACAGTTTCCATCAACAAAGCCATAGTCATAAGTATACCAGCCGTGCTCTGCAAAAAGATATAAATTATAATGACCAAGTCTGAGACATTTCTTGATAACAAACTTGAAATGCAAGCAAAGCATAGATGTTTGAAGGGGAATAAGTGCCAATACCACAAAATAATGTTACAAGTAAATAAGAATCATTGCAGTATTCAAATCTCAAGAAACTGAAGCAGAGACTCCAAAATCTTAAACAAAAGAAAAAGAAAAAGAAAAAAAGAAAGAAAAAAAAGACATGACAATTTGACAATGTTCAGTCCAAATTGCATGCAAGTATATAGGAAATAAACATTTTCAAGCAAGGAAAGTAAATATGTATCAGTGCTCAGTGCTTGGAGAAGCTACATGCTGTTTAATCCAGAAATGAGCAAAAGTACAATTAAAAAAATTGACGGATAAAAGTAAAGCCAATTTGTTGCAAAACCAAGACTTAATGGCCATCTAAAACACAGATGTTAAGCAATTATTGGCAAAGTGAATTAAAATGAATTACACATATATATTTTAGTATATTAAGTCATCTGTATTCACTTTTTAAATTTTTATTGTCTGATAATTTTATATATGTATATGTAGTGTTTGATCAAATCTTCCCCCATTTACTGCCCTCTGATTCCTGCTATATTTTTTCTTTCCAACATCATGTGCACAGAGTCCACTTAGTGCTGCCTGTATGTGCATTGATGTGGGATCATTCACTAGAGTGTAGGTAGCATCTCAAGGGCTATATCCCCTAATAAAATGAACTGGCCAGTAACTTAAAAGCCATCAATTGCCAATAGCACCTCAGTTAGTGGCAGGACTTTTTTTTTATTTATTTTTCTTATTTTACATATTGATCCCAGTTCCCTCTCTGTCCCTCTGTCCCTCCATCCCTCCCTCTCTTCCACCCTCCCATGCACCTAAATATGTGTTTAAACATAAGAATTTAGAGAGCAGTGTAGTTCTATGTCTATCTAACAACATAACAATATTAATTAGGTTCTCTTCTAGAGATTATGATCTAGCCATGGCTTTTGTGCTCAGTGAACAGTCAGGTATCATTGCCATCCTATTTAGTGGGCCTTAAATCCAATAGGAAATGGCTGGTTATTCCAGTAATAGTCATGCCACATAGTCATTTCTAAGAGAGATTGTTTCTTACCTGGTATTCTCACATTTGAAATCTTTCTGCCCCCTCTTCCATGATGTTTACTGATCCATACAACTAGTAGTTATGATGCAGATATAGCCACTGGAGTTGGGCTCCCCATGGTCTATTGATCTCTGTATTGTGTTCATTTGTGCTTGTGATGGTTTGCACTTGCCTGGAGATGTAGCTTTTGAACACAGACTATTTCTTGACTGTGGGATTACATAAGAAAGTTGTTTAACCCTGTTGGTGAAGGTGTGGGTGAGCCAGCCTTGACAGTGTGAGAACTAAAGAGCTGACCCCACCCTCCCCTACTCTGCCAGGCAATGATATGGTTGAGAGAAAGATCCCTTCACCAATTCTCAGCCCTTGCCACATGTGACAGGTGGGAAAGCTGACATTCAGTTCATGAGTGTGGGAGAACTAGCCCTGTAGCATATGGGCGAGTGGCCCATGTACCTTGCCTGGGCAACACAGTAGAGCTAGCCCTTGTGGTATAGATACAGGTAAGCTGGACCAAGGGAATGGAACTAGTAGAACTGGCCCAGACCCTTGTTTCTTTTTTCCCTTGATTCACAATGTTTTTTTTTCCTTTTTTAATTTAAATTTGAAACAAGGTTATTTTACATGTCATGCCCAATTCCCTCACCTCCCATCCTCATGGTCTTCAAACATAACAGTGGCCTTATTGACTGAAAAGAGATAGTGCCACAGCAATATAGCTTGAAGCACCATATATTTTCTTTACCTGCAATTTATCATATATTATATGTAATATATCAATATGATTTATTTGGCCTTCCTTTATTGACAATTGTTTAGTTATATTGCTTTGGCTTGTGAAAATAAACTAGAATTGCTGGAAAACGATAAAAAACTAAAGTAAAATATAAAAATCAGAAATGTGAAGCAAATTTCTACACTAGAAAAGGTTTGGGAGAAATTAAAGGGTACTTTGTACTGCTTGTGACATATTTATGGGGAAAATACATTTCTTTTTGCTAGATAATGAAGTACAAGTTGTTGGTGACAACCATTTATTAAGAAATCTCTTTCTATGATAAAGTGATGGTTTTTCCACCACAGGTAAATTATTCAGCACAGTTTATTTGAATCCGTGTTTGATCCAGAGATGAAGTTATCAATTTTACCATTTTCCCCTAGTCTGTCCTGCTATTATCAGTGCCTGACATTCTGGTACCCATAGCAACAGCCACTGTTTTCGACATCATTCCCCCAAGCAACAGAGCATGGCCAGTGACTGACAATCATCTAGCTGTGTGTGTCAGGGTGGTATGTGCCAGGGCTTAGAGAGCTAGTCATATCTTACAACTGAATGTTTAAAGTTCAGTTACCAAGGACTTGATAAAGTGGCACACCCAGAAGAAGTTTGCCTCTGCCTTTCTGTCAGGCGTGTGACAGGGTAGGAAAAAAAGGGAAACTTTCAGTAAAGGCCAAAGTCTAGATATTGGAAAGGAAAATGGGAGCTTCTTTCACAGGGCTAAACATTTCTTATCTGTTTTCATTTCTGTCTCACATATTCCAGAGCCTGTTTGTGACTACCAAAACTGAGGCAAAGGGCAAGGACTTAGACCATGCACGTTTTACTCTCAGCAAAACAAAGATAAAATCAGTGGAGCTGGAATCTAGAGAGACGAGAGACGGCTCACACTGGCAAAGATCACACACTGCTCATGCGCAGGACCCACTCAGCTCCCAGCACCCATGTCTGTTATCACACAACGATCTGCTACTCCAGCTTCTGAGGGGCTGATGCTGTTTTGGGGCTTTTGTGAACACCCATGCTCTCTCTCTCTCTCTCTCTCTCTCTCTCTCTCTCTCTCTCTCTCTCTCTCTCTCTCTCTCTCTCTCCCTCTCTGCCTATGGATCAGGATGTACCTCTCAGCTACTGACTCCCTTCTCTCTCTCACATACACATAAAACTAAAAATGAACAATGTATGAACTTTAAAAAAAGAAACAATTGAGTTGCTGCTGTGCCAAGATTTCCCTGTCGGAGATTTCTTTTTTAAAGAAAATCTGCAAAATGTCACTTGACTGACAGTGGTTTGTAATGGTTACTGGCATCTAATCACTTTTCCTATGAGTTCTGTATATGAGGAAATACCACTTTGCTAGGTAAAATCAAAAGCTATATATAGGTCTTAATGCCTTTTCCTGGAAAGTCAATCACAAGAAAGTTATAGATGGGACAACGAAAGAGGTCTGTCTGCCAAGACAGAGCAAGTTTGAGGTTAGCTACAGATCCCAGTAAATAGATTACCACAAAAGATGATTTAGTACACAAATTCCAGGGCACTGTGTCCAGCAAGCATGCAAGCTTCTCTCCCTAGGCTTTGAAATAAGCTGGAATTACAGGAAAAGCAAATATGTATTAGTAGCCACCCCTTATTTACTATGCCTAAGGAGAAGCCATTCCCAGTGAAGAAATCTGGATAATAGTTCATTCTGGGGATTTCCAGCCCTCTGATCTTCCCAGGGGACTAGCACATTGGCGGGTGGGGAGAAGCCTGAACAGAGAACTGGACTACCTTCCTGGGTGGCACTTCACAGTCTTTTCCTAATTCTGAAGGCTTCCATTATATGAAGATTTTGGCTGACATTTAGAACTCATCCATACCCTAGGCTGGAAGGCACACCTGTAATTAAGGGAAAGGCTACATTGCTCAGGGCTGTCTTTACCAGTTGGGGGAATTTCCCTCCATTCTGGGGCTGGTTATCTGGCTGAATTCCCAGTCTACTCACACATTCCTTTTTAGCTCATTGATACAGTATAACAAGAAAAGGCCACACTGGATCAGAATTAATGTTCCCATACCAATTCTGTAACTTCCCTTGTAGCCTCCCTGTAAACCTTCCTATTTCCAAAGGCAATAATAATATAAATGAAAAATCTTAGACCTGCAAAGTTTCACTGTTATTTCAGTTTGTTAACCTCTGGGCTAAAAGAAGTCCTTCTGGTTTTCCTTATCTATTATCATTGTTTCCCAGTGTAAGCATGTCGCAAGTGTTCTGCTGTCTTTCAGGTGCTCTCACTGTCTTACCTGGAATCAGCAAATGCGAATATTTTAATGTTAAGTTAATATTAAATAAGTTATTAGGTTTTAGACAAAGTTGACTTTATTATAATCCAGTTGTTCTTAACCTTCCTAATGCTGCAATACTTTAATACAGTCTCTCATGTTGTGGTGACCCTAACCATAAAATTATTTTCATTACTACTTTATAAGTATAATTCTGCTACTGCTATAAATCATAATGTAAATATCTGTTATGCAGGATATCTGATACGTCACTCCAAGTTTTCACTTTTACCATATGTTTTCATGTTTGCCATGCTTAGACACTAGGGCTATGTGCCAATCTCTCCACTTCCCCCACATCTCACTTCTCGCATCCCCTAAGCTCATACATTTATAGAGAAAACTAATTTAGTCTTTCCCCAGGGCTTTTGAATATTCCTTACCTTCCACCTCCTTGAGCTCTTAGCTGCAAGGAAATCTGGCTTGGGTGTATGAAGAGATACCTGGATACTCATTTTAAACCTGCAAGGGAAGTTTTCTTCATTCTTTAAAGGTTAGAGCTTTATACATATGAATCAACAGGAAACTATTATTCTGCTGAGAAACAAATTTATTGGAAACAAAGCCAAATAGAAACATTAGGGAAACTTCTGGAAGTTTCCACGTGAGCACCTTGCCTGATGATCTGAGCGAGATCCCCCCACCATAGCAGGGGCAGTCCCAGTTCAGTTCTCCTTAGTGCTCTCTGCCAGGGTGAGTTTGTCAAAGAGATACTCAGCCAGGCGATTTTCCGGAGCCCCCATCTGGCGCAGGTTGGTCAAGTAGCCACCCATCTCCTTGAGAACTTCGACCTGCTGTTGGAGAAAATGGCGCTTCAGGAGGTTGCACAGGTGGGTATCACCTTGGTTGCTAGCCAGCTGGTACAGCTGCAGAAGGCTCTGGTTGAGCGTCTTCTCCAGGTGAAAAGCACATTCCATCGCCATGAGGCCATCCATCCACTCGTGGCGGTCTTGGTCAGCGATTCTCCCAAGGGTAAGGGAGCCACGGCGCTCGGTCAGCAGGAGGAAGAGTACCTCAATACGTTCCATCCACTTCTGTGACTGACGGAGGAAGAAGAGCGCGAAGAACCCCAGGGCCACTTCGTCTTGATTGCAGAAGTAGGCCATGGAGAGGTAGATGTAAGTGGCATACAGCTGCAGCTGGATCTGAGAGTTGATGGCTGCGAAGCACTCGTTCAGGTAACTCTGCGGCATCTGTGAACCAGAGGCGTCCATGGCGGCAACAGGACTCAAGCACGAGCTAGAAGGCAGCACCTGTTAGCGAGCTGTGGAGCTGGCGAAAGTGGCTGCTGGAGCCCTCACAGTCACTTTTAGAGAGGGAGGAGGAGCTGAGGAACCAGATAGTAACAGCTCCTGTCTCTGTCCAGTCAGACTCTGAGGCAGCGCCTGAAGCCGCAACCGCCCAAACAAGTACCGGAAGACAGCAATGGAAACAGCAATGGCGGTTTGTGCCTCTGGCTGTTGAACCAGGTCAAAGGTCAAGAAACAGTGCACCAATGCTGTGTTCCATAGCAACCCGGAAGGCATCGTCCAAAGGATATAATATCTTTAAAATTTGCGAATAAACAGCCAAATTCTTTTATAGATTGTGTGAATAGTTAACTTTAAGGAAGGAAATTATTTGAATATCACCTAGTAGTGACTGTTTCATTAAAGTAGTTGTTTTCACGTGTGATACCATTATCTCTTATCTTAAAGATTTAGTCTGGGGCAGAGAAAAAAAAAGGGTTAGTCACCTAGGCTAGTGACATCAATGTCTATACTAATGATCTTTCTTAGGGAGAGGTTAAGAGCAAGTGACTGTGTATCATCACCAATGATGACACACCAGGTATTTCTGAACAAATTGGAGCATGGAGTTTGAGCCTTAAAACTTGTGGTAGAAAGAGCAAAATGATTCTCTTAATTTGTCCTGTGACCTCACTTACCTGTGTAGTGGCATGCCCCAGCCAACATACACATACATACAATAATAAAATAAAATAAAAATATAAAACAGTAATAAATAAATAAAATTCATGTGTTAAAGAGATGGCTCAATTATTAAGAACATATACTTCTCTTGTAGAGGATCTAAGTTTGGCTCCAAGCACTTAAGTTAGGCAGCTCACAACCATCTGTAACTCTAATTCTAGAGGCATTTGACTCTTGTATCCACTGAAGCCCACTGCTTTCTTGAGCAAAGAACCCCCACCCCACCCCACACACATATACATACTTTAAAAAATTAAAAATAATTATGAAAAAAAGCAAGTTTAACAACAGGAAAAACAAAATGTTCTAGAGTCCAGCATTGTGTTGCATGCGTATAATCCCAGCATTTGAGAGGCTGAAGCATGATAAATTTATTTCGAAACCATCCTGAGCTGCTACATTCCTTGTATAATTATCATCAAACTAAAATTTGTAAACTGTATATTTTATTTAATAAATTTAATTATTTAATTGTTTCTTCCCCTGTACTAGACAGCTTCCATTCCACTTTCTTGTGTCTATATATAAAATCTAGCAAAATTAAAAAGTTTGTTTTCCTGAGACTGTCATAATTCACTTAATGGCTATCCTCAGTTGTACCTACTTTCCTAAAAACAATAATTAAACTTTAAGTCTGAAAAATTCTATTATGTACATAAAGCACATTTTTTATCCATTCCTTCATTACTGAACACCTAAAATGGTTCCCTAACTTGGCTATTGTGAATTCTGCCACTATAAACATTGAAATGCAAGTATTGACATGATGTGGTGATTTAGAGTCCTTTGGTTAAATATCCAAAAACAGTATAACTAGGTCATATAGATTTTTTTAAAGTTTTGTGGCTTTTCAAGTGGCTGGACAAGTTTACATTCCCTTTGGCAATATTCTTGCCATGTTTATTTGTTATCTTGAGATTCCATTTTACTCCAATCAGAATGGCAGTCATTAATGGAATATTTTATCAGTACAAAATTAGCACTGCCCATTTTGTCTGCTCCTCTGGCCTGCAATCACTAATCTTTTGTGTTTCTATAGATGTGTGTATTGTGGCTATTTTTAAAAAATAGAATCATACTATATGTAGCTTTTGTGTACATATTCTTTCATTTGACTTTAACCTCTATTCCTTTTCATTGCTGAATAATGTTCTGTTGTAAGGCTGTACTGCATTTTAATCAATATTTTTATGTTAATAGAAATTTGGGTTGTTTTCATTTTCTGACTGTTATGACTAATGCTGTTATGAACATTTATGTACAAGTTCTGTAAAAGATGTGCATTTCTAATTCTCTTGGTGATACATATAGGGGTGGACTAATTAGATCATAGATTACCTATCTTTCAGACTTTGAGAGATTTCTAGATTAATTTCCAAAGCGATTGCATCATGTTCCATGCCCAGAAGCAATGTGAGGAGTCCAACACTGTTATTAGCCTTTAAAACCTATGGTCACATCTATGAGGGAAAATAATTTCTTAGTGGGGGTTTCAGTTTGCATTTCCCCAGTAACTAATGATGTTCAATATCTCTTCATATCCTTGTTAGATATTTACAAATCTTCTTTGGGGAAATATTCATTTAAATCCTTTACCTATTTTAAAGCACGAGTTGCCCTTTTTGTTGGGTTCTAAGTGTTTTGTATAATTTATGGATATTCAGCCATATGATTTACAAATATTTTCTCCCATTCAGTGAATTATTATTTTCACTTTCTGAGTGGTCATTTGAAATATAAAATTTCTTAATTTTAATGTATAATCTGTCATTTTTTTCTTTCATCATTTGTGCCTTTAGTGTCCTAAGACACCATTGCCTAACCCAGAAATATGAAGATTTATTACTTAAGTAATACTAAGTATCAAATTTACATTAATTTTTTTTTACCTATTGTATAAATTAAGGAGCAGTTTCATTCTTTCATAGAAAGACACATTTGTTTTTATTCATGTGTGTTTGTGAGACACATGCCCAAAGAGACCAGATCAGGGCATTAGGTCTGGAGCTAGAATTACAGGAAGTTCTGAGTCACTGGATATCAGTGCTGGGAACCAAACTTTTGTCAAGAGCAATATATATGCCCTGAATTATTGGGTCATCTCTACAGCCCCCAGTTCTATTTTTAACATGTGAATAATTAGTGGTTGATAGCACCACTTGTTGGATAGGCTGTCCTTTCTCTTCTGGGTGATCTTGGTACACTCCCGAGGAGGGATCAATCAACCATATTTCTGGATTCTCAATTCTATCTCTGATCCTATGCTTAAATGTATGTCTAAACACTAGACCACTGTTTTGTTCACTATAGCTTTATAGCACATTAAAAATATGAAAGTTGTGAATCTTCCAATTATTTGTATGTTTTAGTATTCCTTAGTCTGTTTAATTTTCTTGTGACTTTTAGGGTAATTTCAACTTCTTTAGAAGAAGCAGCCAAGGTTTTGCTGTAGATAATAATTTGCGATTATCATGACCTATCAGAATTACATGACACCAACTGGATGGCATTCCCCTACATATGGAATTGGGGTGGGGGGATGGAAGGGGAGGGTGGCTAGGGTGCATGTGAGAGGGCAGAGAGGGTAAAAGGGAGGGAGGGAGGGAAGGAGAGAGGGAAGGAGGGAGGGAAGAAGGGAGGGAGAGGGAACTGGGATGGACATGTAAAAATAGTAAATTAAATAAAAAATGCTTTGACTCCAAAATTTAAGTTCAAGGACAAGTTACTGGGGAAAAGGATTTCTATTTTTGTTTCCACAGAAAATGAAAAGATGTGGATTCCTTCCAGACTAATGTGGTTTGATCAAGCCAGACCACCTGAAACAGAGTACATTCAAAACAGCTGGACAAAGCACCCTTGCAGACTACAGCCAGGATTTCTGCATCTTCTTAGAATCCCCCATGACAGAGCCCCTTACCAGCAGGAAGTAGTTTGGAAAGAATGATGCCCAAATTCCCAAATATTGTCTATAAATGCTTGTTTTCAGTTAAATGGACTTGGTTATATAAAATAAATAAATAAAAATAATTTGTGATTATAGTGATATCATTATATTAACATTTTGATGCATAAATGTAGATATCTTTTAATTAACTTGGGTCCTGGATTCTTTATACTTGTTTAATTTTTAGTCAGGGGCCAATTATCTAAGCAGTTTCACAAGTAATAACAGACTTCTGAGTAGCAACTCTCTAAAGGGAAGGAGGCAGCCATCCTTATCAAGGTTCGGAGACAAAGAAACATATGTATTAGTCATCATAAGCAGATATGCCTATCCCACACTCCCAGAGAGAACTTGTGCTAATTATAATAGGATAGCAGTTCCCAATGGGATAAGATACCTTTTATCTTATCTTGGTGAGAGATTTAAAAATTAACTAAAACCTGCTTACTGTATATGTCCTTTTTAGAATAAGTTTCTGAGTATCTCTACTTCTCATTGACTTTGAGGTTTTTTTTTTTTTTAACTGTAATTGAAAAAATAAATTAATAATAATGCAAATGAATGTTGTTCAGAGAAATTCAAATGATTTGATGAAATGCAATTAATTCTTTAATCATTTTGCAACTATTCTATTTGAACATTCATTTCAACATTACTTATTGCCTATACACAAACTTTTTTAGTTCTCTTTTGAACAACTTTTATAACAATATTGATGTTATTTGGCAGTCACTCATTGCATTGTGAAAACTGTCCCTGACTTTGTGAAACTCTTACTGCAGCCCCCTTCAATACCTGGGATTACAGGCATGTACCAGTACAGCTAGATCTCATTTGTAATATCATACAAGTTTCCACATTACTTGATCTTTTTATGTACATATTTTATATTTAAGAGTCATGATTTTTAATTCCCATCCTTTGGTTATATTTTAGCACTCCCAATCCTCATACTATTTCAATAGTATCCATAGAACACACAAAAGTTTACATAATAAACTAAACACTTTTGTAGGGTACTCATCAGAAATATGATTCCAGAAAACTATTTGAGACCTAACGACATAGAAATCAAGGTGGTGTAAAGTGTAGATTTATAGCATGTTTGAAGAAAAGGAGGCAGGGGTAAGTTGGAAATGCAAGAAGGCAGTAAAAACTATCAGAAGAAGTAATTGATTAGAGAGCAGGGCATGAACAGATAACTCAAAGGCAGAATGCTGTAGTCACTGTATAAAGGAATCTGGTACACACTGGAGATGGCATGGGATTAGGGGTGACCTGACCCAGCTGAGAACCAAAGGAGAGGTGAGA